AATATTGCACTGAGCACTCTGCAACATTGACCTCTTCTAAGTAAGATATTTTCTGTTCTACAATCTCCTCTTTATAGACAACCGGTTTGATATGCTGTCACATGGTGTGTTGATGATATATAGTGGCATCGTTTCAATAACAAATGGAAGGGGTGTAGATATATGTTGTACAGTCAAGTGATATACTGACATAATTAACCTGATATTATTACAATTTGGTCCCATATCTCTAGATATACTGACAGAACCTGATATTATTACAATTTGGTCCCATATCTCTAGATATACTGACAGAACCTGATATTATTACAATTTGGTCCCATATCTAACAGAACCTGATATTATTACAATTTGGTCCCATATCTCTAGATATACTGACAGGACCTGATATTATTACAATTTGGTCCCATATCTCTAGACATACTGACAGAACCTGATATTATTACAATTTGGTCCCATATCTCTAGATATACTGACAGAACCTGATATTATTACAATTTGGTCCCATATCTAACAGAACCTGATATTATTACAATTTGGTCCCATATCTCTAGATATACTGACAGGACCTGATATTATTACAGTTTGGTCCCATATCTCTAGATATACTGACAGAACCTGATATTATTACAATTTGGTCCCATATCTCTAGATATACTGACAGAACCTGATATTATTACAATTTGGTCCCATATCTCTAGATATACTGACAGAACCTGATATTATTACAATTTGGTCCCATATCTCTAGATATACTGACAGAACCTGATATTATTACAATTTGGTCCCATATCTAACAGAACCTGATATTATTACAATTTGGTCCCATATCTCTAGATATACTGACAGGACCTGATATTATTACAGTTTGGTCCCATATCTCTAGACATACTGACAGAACCTGATATTATTACAATTTGGTCCCATATCTCTAGACATACTGACAGAACCTGATATTATTACAATTTGGTCCCATATCTCTAGATATACTGACAGAACCTGATATTATTACAATTTGGTCCCATATCTAACAGAACCTGATATTATTACAATTTGGTCCCATATCTCTAGATATACTGACAGGACCTGATATTATTACAGTTTGGTCCCATATCTCTAGATATACTGACAGGACCTGATATTATTACAGTTTGGTCCCATATCTCTAGATATACTGACAGAACCTGATATTATTACAATTTGGTCCCATATCTCTAGATATACTGACAGAACCTGATATTATTACAATTTGGTCCCATATCTCTAGATATACTGACAGAACCTGATATTATTACAATTTGGTCCCATATCTCTAGATATACTGACAGAACCTGATATTATTACAATTTGGTCCCATATCTCTAGATATACTGACAGAACCTGATATTATTACAATTTGGTCCCATATCTCTAGATATACTGACAGGACCTGATATTATTACAATTTGGTCCCATATCTCTAGATATACTGACAGAACCTGATATTATTACAATTTGGTCCCATATCTCTAGATATACTGACAGAACCTGATATTATTACAATTTGGTCCCATATCTCTAGATATACTGACAGGACCTGATATTATTACAATTTGGTCCCATATCTCTAGATATACTGACAGAACCTGATATTATTACAATTTGGTCCCATATCTCTAGATATACTGACAGAACCTGATATTTTTACAATTTGGTCCCATATCTCTAGATATACTGACAGAACCTGATATTATTACAATTTGGTCCCATATCTCTAGATATACTGACAGAACCTGATATTATTACAATTTGGTCCCATATCTCTAGATATACTGACAGAACCTGATATTATTACAATTTGGTCCCATATCTCTAGATATACTGACAGAACCTGATATTATTACAATTTGGTCCCATATCTCTAGATATACTGACAGAACCTGATATTATTACAATTTGGTCCCATATCTCTAGATATACTGACAGAACCTGATATTATTACAGTTTGGTCCCATATCTAACAGAACCTGATATTACAATTTGGTCCCATATCTCTAGATATACTGACAGAACCTGATATTATTACAATTTGGTCCCATATCTCTAGATATACTGACAGGACCTGATATTATTACAATTTGGTCCCATATCTCTAGATATACTGACAGAACCTGATATTATTACAATTTGGTCCCATATCTCTAGATATACTGACAGAACCTGATATTATTACAGTTTGGTCCCATATCTAACAGAACCTGATATTACAATTTGGTCCCATATCTCTAGATATACTGACAGAACCTGATATTATTACAATTTGGTCCCATATCTCTAGATATACTGACAGGACCTGATATTATTACAATTTGGTCCCATATCTCTAGACATACTGACAGAACCTGATATTATTACAATTTGGTCCCATATCTCTAGATATACTGACAGAACCTGATATTATTACAATTTGGTCCCATATCTCTAGATATACTGACAGAACCTGATATTATTACAGTTTGGTCCCATATCTAACAGAACCTGATATTACAATTTGGTCCCATATCTCTAGATATACTGACAGAACCTGATATTATTACAATTTGGTCCCATATCTCTAGATATACTGACAGGACCTGATATTATTACAATTTGGTCCCATATCTCTAGATATACTGACAGAACCTGATATTATTACAATTTGGTCCCATATCTCTAGATATACTGACAGAACCTGATATTATTACAGTTTGGTCCCATATCTAACAGAACCTGATATTACAATTTGGTCCCATATCTCTAGATATACTGACAGAACCTGATATTATTACAATTTGGTCCCATATCTCTAGATATACTGACAGGACCTGATATTATTACAATTTGGTCCCATATCTCTAGACATACTGACAGAACCTGATATTATTACAATTTGGTCCCATATCTCTAGATATACTGACAGAACCTGATATTATTACAATTTGGTCCCATATCTCTAGATATACTGACAGAACCTGATATTATTACAGTTTGGTCCCATATCTAACAGAACCTGATATTACAATTTGGTCCCATATCTCTAGATATACTGACAGAACCTGATATTATTACAATTTGGTCCCATATCTCTAGATATACTGACAGGACCTGATATTATTACAATTTGGTCCCATATCTCTAGACATACTGACAGAACCTGATATTATTACAATTTGGTCCCATATCTCTAGATATACTGACAGAACCTGATATTATTACAATTTGGTCCCATATCTCTAGATATACTGACAGGACCTGATATTATTACAGTTTGGTCCCATATCTCTAGACATACTGACAGAACCTGATATTATTACAATTTGGTCCCATATCTCTAGATATACTGACAGAACCTGATATTATTACAATTTGGTCCCATATCTCTAGATATACTGACAGGACCTGATATTATTACAATTTGGTCCCATATCTCTAGATATACTGACAGGACCTGATATTATTACAATTTGGTCCCATATCTCTAGACATACTGACAGAACCTGATATTATTACAATTTGGTCCCATATCTCTAGACATACTGACAGAACCTGATATTATTACAATTTGGTCCCATATCTCTAGATATACTGACAGAACCTGATATTATTACAATTTGGTCCCATATCTCTAGATATACTGACAGGACCTGATATTATTACAATTTGGTCCCATATCTCTAGACATACTGACAGAACCTGATATTATTACAATTTGGTCCCATATCTCTAGATATACTGACAGAACCTGATATTATTACAATTTGGTCCCATATCTCTAGATATACTGACAGAACCTGATATTATTACAGTTTGGTCCCATATCTAACAGAACCTGATATTACAATTTGGTCCCATATCTCTAGATATACTGACAGAACCTGATATTATTACAATTTGGTCCCATATCTCTAGATATACTGACAGGACCTGATATTATTACAAGTTGGTCCCATATCTCTAGACATACTGACAGAACCTGATATTATTACAATTTGGTCCCATATCTCTAGATATACTGACAGAACCTGATATTATTACAATTTGGTCCCATATCTCTAGATATACTGACAGAACCTGATATTATTACAATTTGGTCCCATATCTCTAGATATACTGACAGAACCTGATATTATTACAATTTGGTCCCATATCTCTCTATTCATTACAAACTTCATATCCATAAAATTAAATGCTATTAATTATTGTTTGATGTATATAATATAAATTAATCTCAATATGGAATATACGGTGTGATTGACAATATACCATCTGCTACACTTAGCTATACTTAAAGGTTCCTCCGCTTCATTATAATACTGTTATATAGCCTTGTAGCCTCTCCAGGATTATATACCTGCCTGGTACAGTATCTATATATGGGTATAGTTAATATAATATTTATCAGTGTGTGCTGCATTTACCATTGAATTAATTCATGTTATATGACATGTGTTGTATTGTCAGGAGGTGATAATGAAATATCCTTCACTCACAGATTACTATGGCATGGTAATGGAGAGCTTGGATAGAAAGACAAAAAATGCTGTCGAAAACAGCTCGATAATTAGAATACATTTCTTTCCATTTTGTATTTGATTTATGAAGTTTGTCAGTAATTTTTTCATTTTAGCTTACCACACGCTACAAAAATGAAAATGTTTCACTTATTTCATAATTGTCTCATGAAATCAAAAATTCCTGTATCATTTTAATGCATGCTAAACATTGATCAGAGTATTGTCTGTATTTTCTTTCTACGCTATTAAAGTTAACACAATACATGTACATGTATAACATGTATGAAAAGATTAGGTGCTTTTTTAATTATCAGTACCTTGGAGATCTTCTAATTGATGTTAAAGCTGCCTCCCCTGCAGTAATTAATATGTGGGTCATCATAGTTTGACATAAACTAGTAACCACAGTCATATCTTATGTCTTGACTCATTTTATCAGAATTTCTCTTGATGTTTTACCTTCCACAGCAACAAATCTGCATCCACTACACCATCACTTCCAAGGATTCCTCAGAATGCTCGTCCTCCTAGTCCTCCAACATCTGGGCGTCCTAAGTCTGGTGCCAACCGCCAGAGGGCAGTGCAGTCGTCTACGCGGCCACGTGCTAATGGACATGACCGTCAAGATAAGGTTGTATGTCACCATGTAGTACAGTCAAGCATTATCATAGACAAAGTTTTGTTTATCTCGTAACTAATTATCATAATTTCACACATTGTCAAGTGTCACATCACAGATGTTTCTGCAATACTGATTTTTCCTGTTTGCAGTTATCTAATTTTGATTTGGTTTTTATAAACCAGTATTTGATATGATTAGAAAATGTTTTATCATAAAACTACTGTCACACATTTGTTCTAAATGCAATAGTAAAAATACAGGTATTGTATTGATTTTAAGGTTGTTCTTTACTTTGATATTTGTATCAGATCTGGAAATAGATTACTGGTGTAGTATGATAAGTGAAGCCCATGGTAACGTGAACCATTATGCTGAAATGAATAACCCCTTCCCCCATCTGCCCCCATGGTAAAGTGAACCATGATGCTGAAATGAATAACCCCCTCCCCCCTCTGCCCCCATGGTAAAGTGAACCATTATGGTTATATATTAAGCAAAATTTAATGTGGCTTCACTTTACTATTGGGGGATGGTGGGAGGGGGTGGGGGGTGGGGTCATTTCACCATTATGGTATTTTTACCCTGGTATAGCCTGTTTATTTCACCATGCTCCACAATACCATGCCACGCCACACACTGCCTACCTGAACATGTATTCCTTTGCATTATTGTTTTTACATACTATTCAATCATTCATACTAATGGTTATGTTTTAAACACAGATGAATGGAATTCCTAATGGAGATATGGGCCTAGCTTTACAAGGTCTGACTGTCCAGGGATCCAACAGTAATCCTGATAACAGAATCGTAGAAGAACCTTCCAAAAAATTACGAGCGGTACATGTCACCTTTAAACATCCTGTCTGCAGACAAATTAGTCCTACATGTCCTCTCTGGAGAATGAGTATCTTGTCCCTCACTCATCCCCCAATCAATCATCTATCTAGTTATATTCTCAGTTCAAAATTTTGTGATTTCAATAACTAGATAAGAAAAATTAAATTTTATCAAATTAAAATTTCACTATCTGAATGTAAGAGGATCAAAATTTTGTGAATGTCATTCCTTATGTCAAGTTTCAGTCACATTATTGTGGATTCAATCTTCAAACACTATGCTTGAACAAGATTTAATTATGATAATATGCTTAAAAAGTATTCTGTGGCAGTCATAACAAATACATTGTACCAAGCACCATTTGGTCAGTTCCAAATAATTAATTGTCTTTTTAGTAAATACCTCTGGACCTTATTTTGGGACAAACCATCATCCTATCTATCCTAAATAAATATCGTTCGACAGAAGTTTGCTTCTTGTCTCTGAATTTGTTGTTTTGTTGGTGTTACACAGCCGGGCCAGATAATAGACATCAGGTCAATGATAAATGAGGCCACTAGGATGTCTGCTGAAGAAGGTGCTGACCAGAATGTAAGTATGTTCAAAACTTATATATACTTATGCAACAGTCATGAGTACACACTACCACAGACTTTTCTGTAAAATGTGTAATTGTTATAATATCCAAATAAAAAATACAGATCCTGTGGGCCTCTTGTTTTTTAAATTTTCAAACCTGATTAAACAGACTTATGAAAAGATTTCTGTTTTTGATCTTAACATGGTATCGGCAATTAGTTTGGTTTTTCTCTGATTTGACAGTCACACAGGGTAAGTTGTGAAGCTGTTGGAATCCTGCCAGTGTGTTTATTATAATGAGCTAGCAGCTGTTAATGGCTAGGGGAATTAGCAGTTCCCAAAACTTCATCAGTTACAGCTTAGTGTGCAATCAGCTAATACGGGAGAGTGAGAGAAGTTTTTTCATTTTTTTTCTAAAACATCATCACGCTGGTATACAGAACATATGGTGAATGTTAATATGACTTCACAACTTGATAAAAGAATCTGGATTTCCTGCTACAATAAATAACATCATCTTCACATAAATTTTGTCACATTTCCAGTTTGATAATTTCATTTATGAAATTGTAAACCATTCTAAACAAAACTAGGGTTACAATACTATAAAGGACAGCATATACCATTTAATTAGTGTAACTACAAAAATGAAAAGGTGAAGTATTCTCATCATTTGATAATAATAAACATACAATGTATGTACACATAAAGCTTTAGATCCTCCATCAGAATAACACTCTGTAGTTCAGACAAGGCCTTATCACTAATCACTACTGTACATGTACTTAATGTTTTATCTGACAGACAGTTTATAGGCGTCACTAGTTTAGATGTGTAGGTTTTACCCTGTGATGATATAATATTGCCTTTGACAGGATCGACTGTTGAAACCTCTAGGAGGATATGTAGGGTACAATTCCGAATGGAGGGAACTCGCCCAGGTTATCAGTAGGGTAAGTATTTCATTTCATAGTCATTGATACAGACTTACACAACGACTGTATGTCTGTGTAACTCATTCTTTGTCTGACCATACTTGGACCTTGTGTTCCTTTGTCTGGCCATACTTGGACCTTGTGTTCCTTTGTCTGGCCATACTTGGACCTTGTGTTCCTTTGTCTGGCCTTGTGTTCCTTTGTCTGGCCACACTTGGACCTTGTGTTCCTTTGTCTGGCCATACTTGGACCTTGTGTGCCTTTGTCTGACCATACTTGGACCTTGTGTTCCTTTGTCTGACCATACTTGGACCTTGTGTTCCTTTGTCTGGCCACACTTGGACCTTGTGTTCCTTTGTCTGGCCACACTTAGACTTTGTGTTCCTTTGTCTGGCCACACTTGGACCTTGTGTTCCTTTGTCTGGCCACACTTGGACCTTGTGTTCCTTTGTCTGGCCACACTTGGACCTTGTGTTCCTTTGTCTGACCATACTTGGACCTTGTGTTCCTTTGTCTGACCATACTTGGACCTTGTGTTCCTTTGTCTGACCATACTTGGACCTTGTGTTCCTTTGTCTGGCCATACTTGGACCTTGTGTTCCTTTGTCTGGCCATACTTGGACCTTGTGTTCCTTTGTCTGGCCACACTTGGACCTTGTGTTCCTTTGTCTGGCCACACTTGGACCTTGTGTTCCTTTGTCTGACCTTACTTGGACCTTGTGTTCCTTTGTCTGGCCATACTTGGACCTTGTGTTCCTTTGTCTGGCCATACTTGGACCTTGTGTTCCTTTGTCTGGCCATACTTGGACCTTGTGTTCCTTTGTCTGACCATACTTGGACCTTGTGTTCCTTTGTCTGGCCATACTTGGACCTTGTGTTCCTTTGTCTGGCCATACTTGGACCTTGTGTTCCTTTGTCTGACCATACTTGGACCTTGTGTTCCTTTGTCTGGCCTTACATGGACCTTGTGATCCTTTGTCTGGCCATACTTGGACCTTGTGTTCCTTTGTCTGACCTTACTTGGACCTTGTGTTCCTTTGTCTGGCCATACTTGGACCTTGTGTTCCTTTGTCTGGCCATACTTGGACCTTGTGTTCCTTTGTCTGGCCATACTTGGACCTTGTGTTCCTTTGTCTGGCCATACTTGGACCTTGTGTTCCTTTGTCTGACCATACTTGGACCTTGTGTTCCTTTGTCTGACCATACTTGGACCTTGTATTCCTTTGTCTGACCTTACTTGGACCTTGTGTTCCATTGTATGGCCTTACTGGACACCATTTGGGGTTTCTCAGCCTGAATTTCATATGACATTGTGTTTCTGTTTCTGATCTTAATATGACCTTTTGTTTTTAAGTCTGACCTTTATGTGACCTTGTGTTTACATGTTTGTTTATCTGACCTTTATGTGACCTTGTGTTTCTGACCTTAACTATTCACCTTCTGTTTGTGTACATTGTTGTTTGTTATTTTTTACAGGATATTTACTCACAAGACCCTAATGTCAAGTGGGATGATATTATAGGTCTAGACGAAGCTAAACGTTTATCCAAGGAAGCTGTAGTATATCCAATTAAGGTAGGTACTCATATGATGACAGTTAATATTGGTTTCTATTGTGATTGGTTGATATTGTGACTGGTTGATATTGTGACTGGCCGTTTTGTGCACTTTTAGAGTTAAATCTATTAGGATGCTGATGATAATAATTACAAATTTCAAGATCTAAAGCCTTTCTATCAGATATGTTCACTCCACAAATCCAAAAGCAACAAAATATAGAAAAATAATTTGATGTTGATTTTTCCTTTATAGTATCCACAGTTATTCAAAGGAATACTGTCTCCATGGAAAGGATTGCTACTGTACGGCCCGCCTGGTAGGTATATAATGTAGGTCTTATAGGTCATCAGCTGTCAGGGACTGGAACTGTGTTATCAGGGGGAACTATCAGGTATTATCAGGGGGAACTATCAGGTATTATCAGGTATTATCAGGGGGAACTATCAGGTGTTATTGGGGAGAAGGAACTATCAGGTGTTATCAGGAGGAACTATCAGGTGTTATTGGGGGAAACTATCAGGTGTTATCAGGGGGATCTATAAGGTGTTATCAGGGAGAAGGAATTATCAGGTGTTATCAGGGGGAACTATCAGGTGTTATCAGGGAGTAGGAACTATCAGGTGTTATCAGGGAGAAGGAACTATCAGGTGTTATCAGAGAGAAGGAACTATCAGGTGTTATCAGGGAGAAGGAACAATCAGGTGTTATCAGGGAGAAGGAACTATCAGGTGTTATCAGGGAGAAGGAACTATCAGGTGTTATCAGGGAGAAGGAACTATCAGGTGTTATCAGGGAGAAGGAACTATCAGGTGTTATCAGGGAGAAGGAACTGTCAGGGAGAAGGAACTATCAGGTGTTATCAGGGAGAAGGAACTATCAGGTGTTATCAGAGAGAAGGAACTATCGTGTGCTATCAGGAAGAAGGAACTATCAGGTGTTATCAGGGAGAAGCAACTATCAGGTGTTATCAGGGAGAAGGAATTATCAGATGTTATCAGGGAGAAGGAACTATCAGATGTTATCAGGGAGAAGGAACTATCAGGTGTTATCAGGGAGAAGGAACTGTCAGGGAGAAGGAACTATCAGATGTTATCAGGGAGAAGGAACTATCAGGTGTTATCAGGGAGAAGGAACTATCAGGTGTTATCAGGGAGAAGGAACTGTCAGGTGTTATCAAAGAGAAGGAACTATCAGGTGTTATCAAGGTGTAGGAACTATCAGGTGTTATCAGGGAGAAGGAACTATCAGGTGTTATCAGGGAGAAGGAACTATCAGGTGTTATCAGGGAGAAGCAAGAATCAGGTGTTATCAGGGAGAAGGAACTATCAGGTGTTATCAGGGAGAAGGAACTATCAGGTGTTATCAGGGAGAAGGAACTGTCAGGTGTTATCAGAGAGAAGCAAGAATCAGGTGTTATCAGGGAGAAGGAATTTTCAGGTGTTATTAGGAAGAAGGAACTATCAGGTGTTATCAAGGTGTAGGAACTATCATGTGATATCAGGGAGAAGGAACTATTAGGTGTTATTAGGAAGAAGGAACTATCAGGTGTTATCAGGGAGAAGGAACTATCAGGTGTTATCAGGGAGAAGGAACTATCAGGTGTTATCAGGGAGAAGGAACTGTCAGGTGTTATCAGAGAGAAGCAAGAATCAGGTGTTATCAGGGAAGAGGAACTATCAGGTGTTATCAGGGAGAAGGAACTGTCAGGTGTTATCAGAGAGAAGCAAGAATCAGGTGTTATCAGGGAAGAGGAACTGTCAGGTGATGTGCACATGAATTTTGTAATCCTTACATACCCAGTTATATTGTAAGGAGTGTAAATGGAATTTATTTTAATTTTTCCAGGTACAGGAAAAACATTATTAGCAAAGGCAATAGCCACAGAATGTAAGACAACATTCTTCAATATATCTGCATCTACTATAGTCAGCAAATGGAGAGGAGACTCAGAGAAGCTAGTCAGGGTAAGATACTTGTGCATCAGTCAGTGAATAGATGGTCAGTGTGTAATATAATACTGTAGTACTGAAGTCTGTGAGTGGATTGTCAGTGTGAGATACTTTACTGAGTGAGTGGATTGTCAGTGTGAGTGTGTGGATTGTCAGTGTGTGATACTTTATTGAGTGAGTGGATTGTCAGTGTGAGATACTTTACTGAGTGAGTGGATTGTCAGTGTGAGTGTGTGGATTGTCAGTGTGTGATACTTTATTGAGTGAGTGGATTGTCAGTGTGTGATATAATACTGTAGTACTGAAGTCAGTGAGTGGATTGTTAGTGTGAGTGTGTGGATTGTCAGTGTGTGATACATTATTGAGTGAGTGGATTGTCAGTGTGAGTGTGTGGATTGTCAGTGTGTGATACTTTATTGAGTGAGTGGATTGTCAGTGTGTGATACATTATTGAGTGAGTGGATTGTCAGTGTGTGATACATTATTGAGTGTGTGGATTGTCAGTGTGTGATACTTTACTGAGTGAGTGGATTGTCAGTGTGTGATACTTTACTGAGTGTGTGGATTGTCTGAGTGTGATACTTTATTGAGTGAGTGGATTGTCAGTGTGTGATACTTTACTGAGTGAGTGGATTGTCAGTGTGTGATATAATACTGTAGTACTGAAGTCAGTGAGTGGATTGTCAGTGTGTGATACTTTATTGAGTGAGTGGATTGTCAGTGTGTAATACTTTACTGAGTGAGTGGATTGTCAGTGTGAGTGTGTGGATTGTCAGTGTGTGATACTTTATTGAGTGAGTGGATTGTCAGTGTGTGATACTTTACTGAGTGTGTGGATTGTCAGTGTGTGATACTTTATTGAGTGAGTGGATTGTCAGTGTGTGATACTTTATTGAGTGTGTGGATTGTCAGTGTGTGATACTTTATTGAGTGTGTGGATTGTCAGTGTGTGATACTTTATTGAGTGTGTGGATTGTCAGTGTGTGATACTTTATTGAGTGTGTGGATTGTCAGTGTGTGATACTTTATTGAGTGTGTGGATTGTCAGTGTGTGATACTTTATTGAGTGTGTGGATTGTCAGTGTGTGATACTTTATTGAGTGTGTGGATTGTCAGTGTGTGATACTTTATTGAGTGTGTGGATTGTCAGTGTGTGATACTTTATTGAGTGTGTGGATTGTCAGTGTGTGATACTTTATTGAGTGTGTGGATTGTCAGTGTGTGATACATTATTGAGTGTGTGGATTGTCAGTGTGTGCTACATTATTGAGTGAGTGGATTGTCAGTGTGTGATACTTTATTGAGTGTGTGGATTGTCAGTGTGTGCTACATTATTGAGTGTGTGGATTGTCAGTGTGTGATATTATACTGTTAGTTCTGTAGTCTTTGAGTGGATTGTTAGTGTGAGTGTGTGGATTGTCAGTGTGTGATACATTATTGAGTGAGTGGATTGTCAGTGTGAGTGTGTGGATTGTCAGTGTGTGATACTTTATTGAGTGAGTGGATTGTCAGTGTGTGATACATTATTGAGTGAGTGGATTGTCAGTGTGTGATACTTTACTGAGTGAGTGGATTGTCAGTGTGTGATACTTTATTGAGTGAGTGGATTGTCAGTGTGTGATACTTTATTGAGTGAGTGGATTGTCAGTGTGTGATACTTTACTGAGTGAGTGGATTGTCAGTGTGTGATATAATACTGTAGTACTGAAGTCAGTTAGTGGATTGTCAGTGTGTGATACTTTATTGAGTGAGTGGATTGTCAGTGTGAGATACTTTACTGAGTGAGTGGATTGTCAGTGTGAGTGTGTGGATTGTCAGTGTGTGATACTTTATTGAGTGAGTGGATTGTCAGTGTGTGATACTTTACTGAGTGTGTGGATTGTCAGTGTGTGATACTTTATTGAGTGAGTGGATTGTCAGTGTGTGATACTTTATTGAGTGTGTGGATTGTCAGTGTGTGATACTTTATTGAGTGTGTGGATTGTCAGTGTGTGATACTTTACTGAGTGTGTGGATTGTCAGTGTGTGATACTTTATTGAGTGTGTGGATTGTCAGTGTGTGATACTTTATTGAGTGTGTGGATTGTCAGTGTGTGATACTTTATTGAGTGTGTGGATTGTCAGGGTGTGATACTTTATTGAGTGTGTGGATTGTCAGTGTGTGATACTTTATTGAGTGAGTGGATTGTCAGTGTGTGATACTTTACTGAGTGTGTGGATTGTCAGTGTGTGATACTTTATTGAGTGAGTGGATTGTCAGTGTGTGATACATTATTGAGTGAGTGGATTGTCAGTGTGTGATACATTATTGAGTGAGTGGATTGTCAGTGTGTGATACTTTGAGTGAGTGGATTGTCAGTGTGTGATACTTTATTGAGTGTGTGGATTGTCAGTGTGTGATACTTTAATGAGTGAGTGAGTTGATTGTCAGTGTGTGATACTTTATTGAGTGTGTGGATTGTCAGTGTGTGATACTTTATTGAGTGTGTGGATTGTCAGTGTGTGATACTTTATTGAGTGTGTGGATTGTCAGTGTGTGATACTTTATTGAGTGTGTGGATTGTCAGTGTGTGATATAATACTGTAGTACTGAAGTCAGTGAGTGGATTGTTAGTGTGAGTGTGTGGATTGTCAGTGTGTGATACATTATTGAGTGAGTGGATTGTCAGTGTGTGATACTTTATTGAGTGAGTGGATTGTCAGTGTGTGATACATTATTGAGTGAGTGGATTGTCAGTGTGTGATACATTATTGAGTGAGTGGATTGTCAGTGTGTGATACTTTACTGAGTGAGTGGATTGTCAGTGTGTGATACTTTACTGAGTGTGTGGATTGTCTGAGTGTGATACTTTATTGAGTGAGTGGATTGTCAGTGTGTGATACATTATTGAGTGAGTGGATTGTCAGTGTGTGATATAATACTGTAGTACTGAAGTCAGTGAGTGGATTGTCAGTGTGTGATACTTTATTGAGTGAGTGGATTGTCAGTGTGTGATACATTATTGAGTGAGTGGATTGTCAGTGTGAGTGTGTGGATTGTCAGTGTGTGATACATTATTGAGTGAGTGGATTGTCAGTGTGAGTGTGTGGATTGTCAGTGTGTGATACATTATTGAGTGAGTGGATTGTCAGTGTGTGATACTTTATTGAGTGTGTGGATTGTCAGTGTGTGATACTTTATTGAGTGTGTGGATTGTCAGTGTGTGATACTTTATTGAGTGTGTGGATTGTCAGTGTGTGATACTTTATTGAGTGTGTGGATTGTCAGGGTGTGATACTTTATTGAGTGTGTGGATTGTCAGTGTGTGATACTTTATTGAGTGTGTGGATTGTCAGTGTGTGATACTTTATTGAGTGTGTGGATTGTCAGTGTGTGATACTTTATTGAGTGAGTGGATTGTCAGTGTGTGATACTTTATTGAGTGTGTGGATTGTCAGTGTGTGATACTTTATTGAGTGAGTGGATTGTCAGTGTGTGATATAATACTGTAGTACTGAAGTCAGTGAGTGGATTGTCAGTGTGAGTGTGTGGATTGTCAGTGTGTGATACTTTGTTTAGTGAGTGGATTGTCAGTGTGTGATACTTTGTTGAGTGTGTGGATTGTCAGTGTGTGATACTTTATTGAGTGAGTGGGTTGTCAGTGTGTGATACTTTATTGATTGTGTGGATTGTCAGTGTGTGATACTTTACTGAGTGAGTGGATTGTCAGTGTGAGTGTTGGATTGTCAGTGTGTGATACTTTATTGAGTGTGTGGATTGTCAGTGTGTGATACTTTATTGAGTGTGTGGATTGTCAGTGTGTGATACTTTATTGAGTGTGTGGATTGTCAGTGTGTGATACATTATAGAGTGAGTGGATTGTCAGAGTGGGATGTTACAATAGTACAAAAGTCAGCAAATTGATTTGGTTTGTACAATTTATTTATATATCTGTTCATTTATTGACTTTTCAAATGTTTCTGTTTTTTGTTTTACAATATAGGTGCTATTTGAAATGGCTAGATATTATGCTCCCTCCACTATATTCCTTGATGAATTAGAAGCTATAATGAGTCAGAGAGGTTCCAGTGGTGGTGGTGGGTAAGTGGCATTTGTTCCAGAATGAAAAGTAAATCAACAACATGGTCGCCCTACCAAAACAAATATAAAGGGAGATAACTCTACATTTGTTAAATAGGCCGTCAAATTTGATAGCAAGTAAGTGATATTAAATAGGACTCCTAGGACCTTTTCTCAATGTATATTCATTCAAATTTATAATCCATCAATGTCCTGATGTAAACATTATGTTGGTTAAAGAAATATCTATCACGTTAGGATAACTCTCAATCACAACTGTCGACAGTGGGCCTTATATTGTAATGTTTTTGATGTGTCCCTGCAAGATTAAGTTTTTTTTCTTCAGAGAACACGAAGGGAGCAGACGTATGAAGACAGAGTTACTGGTGCAGATGGATGGTCTGGCTAAGACAGATGATCTTGTTTTCTTGTTAGCTGCCTCTAACTTACCATGGTAATCAATTATCTAAGGTCACCTCTCCTCACCTGGCTCTGTAATTATTCAACTGATAATTTACAAAAATGAAGTTTGTAATAAATGACAATATTGCAGGTTTTACAGTTGTGTTTTGTTGATTAAAAAAATTTTTTTTAGTAGTTTAAGAAGTCTTTTGATTGGCATCTAACTTTCTGTGGTATGATGTGTTTGAAAAGAAATGTTTGAATTGTGTTATGGAGATTATAGATTACTTATGTAAAGAATTCTGATGGCTACAGTTAAATGATTCATAGGTGTCTTTGTTAAAATGATTTTATTTTATTAACAGGGAATTAGACCAAGCCATGCTACGTCGACTTGAGAAGAGGATAATTGTTGACCTGCCTACATATGAGGCCAGGAAGGCCATGTTTAGGTATTATCTACCACATGTAGTATGTCCTAAAGAAGGCGGGTTGGAACTCCTCTCTCACCTGGACTACGAACTGCTGGCAAATGTAAGCTTTATAACATTTTGTTCTCTTTAATAAGGGGTCCTGTTACAGTATACACTGTGATATTTGTTTGCTCATCAATAATTTTCCTTGTAAGCACTCTTAGCTCAAGTTTTAAGTCTTCATTAATGTTTAGCTCACCTACAGGAATGGTGAGCTTATGCCGGGGCATGGCATCCATAGTCATACATTTTGACCAGTTTCTGCATCCATGAATGGACCAGAACAAATTTCCAATAAATACTGGGTCTCAGTTCTCCAGGGCCTGAGGGTCCAGGGGACACAAGGGAAATTTTGCAAATTCTTAAAACTTCTTCTTCTATAGGAATTTAAGGGTTCTTTCTGTGTTGGGTTTGAAGCATACTTGGGTAAATTGAATAGATTTTGTATAAATAATGAGTCTTGTCAACTTGGGACAGGAATATAGGGTCCACTAAGGGAAAAAAGAGAAAACTGGGGTTTTATTTATCTAATCCCTCTTCATCTTAAGGAGGGAACAGGTGAAGGGAAATCAATTTTGTGTAAATCAGTGTTTTAAGCCCCTTGTGTGGTCAAGTAGTGAAACTAGAACAAATCCTTTTAAAATCCTTTTTCTTCTGAAGGAATGCCTGGAAGAGTCTTGTCTCAATTTTGTCTGAAGCATCATTGGATAAAGTTGAATGACATCTTTAATGAAAAGTAGATTAAATAATGAGGCCGTCTTACATTCGTTATAGTGATCTTGTTGAGATATATTCTATTTGTGAATGCAATATGAAGTTGGATATGATTTACTTCGATTGACAAAAATTTACATGGCAGGTTTTGTTGATGAAGCAGAAGACCCTTATTCCTCTGGAACACCTGGTCTAATTCCCCTTGTACTTTTTTCAGGAGTCTCTGTGTAAATCATTTGCTTGTTCATATTTTGCCTTAGTTTTATTGATTTTGAGTTTGGAGTATGATTAGACTCCATATTTTGAGTTAGGAATATGATTAGGCACTGTATTTTGAGTTTGGAGTATGGTTAGACTCCATATTTTGAGTTTGGAGTATGATTAGGTTTTGTATTTTGAGTTTGGAGTATGATTAGACTCCATATTTTGAGTTTGGAGTATGATTAGGCTCTGTATTTTGAGTTTGGAGTATGATTAGGTTTTGTATTTTGAGTTTGGAGTATGATTAGACTCTGTATTTTGAGTTTGGAGTATGATTAGGTTCCATATTTTGAGTTTGGAGTATGATTAGGTTTTGTATTTTGAGTTTGGAGTATGATTAGGTTCCATATTTTGAGTTTGGAGTATGATTAGGTTTTGTATTTTGAGTTTGGAGTATGATTAGGTTTTGTATTTTGAGTTTGGAGTATGATTAGGCTCTGTATTTTGAGTTTGGAGTATGATTAGGTTTTGTATTTTGAGTTTGGAGTATGATTAGGTTTTGTATTTTGAGTTTGGAGTATGATTAGACTCCATATTTTGAGTTTGGAGTATGATTAGGTTCCATATTTTGAGTTTGGAGTATGATTAGGTTCTGTATTTTGAGTTTGGAGTATGATTAGGCTCTGTATTTTGAGTTTGGAGTATGATTAGGCTCTGTATTTTGAGTTTGGAGTATGATTAGGCTCTGTATTTTGAGTTTGGAGTATGATTAGGTTTTGTATTTTGAGTTTGGAGTATGATTAGGTTCTGTATTTTGAGTTTGGAGTATGATTAGGTTTTGTATTTTGAGTTTGGAGTATGATTAGACTCCATATTTTGAGTTTGGAGTATGATTAGGTATGATAGGTTTTATTTTGAGTTTGGAGTATGATTAGGTTCTGTATTTTGAGTTTGGAGTATGATTAGGTTTTGTATTTTGAGTTTGGAGTATGATTAGGCTCTGTATTTTGAGTTTGGAGTATGATTAGGTTTTGTATTTTGAGTTTGGAGTATGATTAGGCTCTGTATTTTGAGTTTGGAGTATGATTAGGCTCTGTATTTTGAGTTTGGAGTATGATTAGGTTCTGTATTTTGAGTTTGGAGTATGATTAGGCTCTGTATTTTGAGTTTGGAGTATGATTAGGTTTTGTATTTTGAGTTTGGAGTATGATTAGACTCCATATTTTGAGTTTAGAGTACGATTATGTTCTCTTGTTAGTATGTTCTGGTTTTTCCTGAATTATCCTTTGATGACATGGATAAACAGTGTGTCCCTGGGGTTGGGAGGGTAGGGGCAGGGCCCAATAGCAGAAATAGGGAAAATTCTTAAATATCCTTAGAAGTTGAGTATTTTGTGGAAATGCTTGGATTCTGTACTGTTTTGATCCGATTTGAAGGAACACAATTTCATATAAACCAGGAGTCTTCATGACCACCAAGAGGCCAGAGATGTGGGATGCAATGGCGAAATGTATTCCTAAAAATCCGTCTTTTGTGTAAGATTACTATAATGTCCAAGTTTGGTCTGAAGCGTTTGGTAAATGAGACTAAATATAGTATAAACAGATGATTCGACTTCCGTTTGATCATAAAGCCCCATCAGGAAATTATTCAATTCTTTGTTAAATGACTGAATAGCTGAATTAGTTAGGTGAAGGATGCAGGCCCTATGGGCCTCTTGCTTGGTAAATGACTTTTTACTCTACATTCAGAAACTATAAAATTGTCTGATTTTCAAATAAAACTGGTTGTGCTGTTCATCCAGATATAGCTCCATGGTGAGTCTGATGCTTTATTGAAAACATTTTCTTTCGATCATTTTCGCTAAGTTGTCAGGATGACAGAGTATGTGTTATTTCTTATCCAAACAAAAAGAAAGTGTCAATTCATGGAATGTTGTATCACTGGTTTGTTTCAGATACTCAACAACCTATATTTGTTTGATATTTCAAAGATTGTCTTTTTATTTCAGAGAACAGAAAGTTATTCTGGTTCTGACCTGAGGTTAGTGTGTAAAGAGGCTGCCATGAGACCAGTTAGAAAAATATTTGATGCTCTGGAAAAAAATGACAAAGATGGTGAGTAGTCATTTGTCATCAAGAGATCATTGACCTTGTTAACAAGTTGTAAATTAAGATGTTACTACAGTATCAGACTTACATAACTCTATCTCTACCTACCTACCTCCTCCCTCCCTCCCTCCCTCCCTCCCTACCTACCTACCTACCTACCTACCTCCTCCCTCCCTCCCTCCCTCACCCACCCACAATGTATATCAGACTTACGTTACCCTATCTCTACTGACCCACTATGTGTAGTTACCTATCTCTACTGACCCACTATGTGTAGTTACCTATCTCTACTGACCCACTATGTGTAGTTATCTATCTCTACTGACCCACTATGTGTAGTTACATCATCAGACTTCCATTACCTTATCTCTGACATACCAACCTGCAATGTATAAAATTCTGTAAATGTGATCATTTTTTGTTTACAGGCGACCAGCTCCATTTCAGGCTGGACACAATAACGACCTCAGATGTATTAAAAGCTGTAGATCGGACTAAACCCTCTGCCTCCAAACTGAAGGAAAAATACAGTGCCTGGCAGAGAGAGTATGAGTCTGTGTGATTCCTGGATGTGATAAAACAGGACTAAGGTGTTGTGTCTAAATACTGACTCTCTATGATTACAGGACAAGCACTGTATCTCTAATTATTCAATGCATAAACTCTTGTCACTGTGATCTACCTTACACTCCTAACTCCAGAAGATGTACACATTCTGATGACTTGTGTATTACGATCTAATGGTTTGTAAAACACCATCACAAGGTGACATCTGCCTCCATGCACTGTTTTCACATAGAAGACTTACATTTTAGAATCACGTGGTAACAACCTCACAAATATTGAAAATGTGATCAATATCTTTAAAATGTGATCAATATCTGTTAAAATGTGATCAATATCTGTTAAAATGTGATCAATATCTGTTAAAATGTGATCAATATCTTTTACAACTGTTTTACTTTTTATTATGAGACTTGTACTATGATGAGTACATACAATTGTACATGTCAAACTTACTGGTAACCAACTTTCAGAACTCCTTAAGGGTAACCTGACAGGAACTTACCTGACAGGAACTTACCTGACAGGGACTTAACTGACAAGGACTTAACTTAACTGACAAGGAGTAACTGCTTGTAAAGTTTGCCAAAAAGACATGTTCAATTGATGGCCTGATTTTCAAGTCTAAGAAATATAGCTGCAAGGCATGTTTGAATAAACGACCTATCTGTGCTAAAATTTACCTTTAACAACCTGTAAAGTTTGCCATTAAGGCTTTCTAAGTGAGGATATTATCTGTATGATTTAATAAGGTCATGTGATTTTTTTACATTCCTCTTAAATAGTTATAAAATCTTACAGTAAGAGATGTTATAACTGACAACAGGTTTAGCATTATACTGTAAGAGTGAAGTTTATTAAATCAGATATTCAACATTTATCACAAAAAGGAGCTTAATAATAAACTCAAAATATTCTACGTCATGTGAAATGTATAAAGGATTTTCAGGGTGTGGAATATTTTGGAATTATTTAACATAAATGATAAAATTTCGTTTTAATTAGAATTTACGGAAAAGTCACTTGAATTTTGAAATGGTAATGATTGATTGTGAAAGGATGAACACCATTAGTTTCCATCATAAATAAACATAAAAAAATATTGGGTTTTTTTTTTGAGTCCATACCTCATGGTTTTCCTCAGAGTACGTGTATATATAGACTGATGGTGAATCCATGTCACTTTTTTAAGACACTGTTCTTCACATTTCTGCCTTATTTATTCTAGACACATTTTTCAAAGCATTAGGTAAAATTAATATACTTAAGATGAAATTTGATTTTATTTGAATAGTGTTATTTTTTAAGAAATCATTTTGTCTGTTGTCTTCTTTGTGAGTTTTTATTACACCAGTAACTGTTTGATCAACTGTTTATGGCTACAACACATATTGACTGCCATTAGAATCTTGTTTGACTGTTTTATGTATGTAAGGTACACAATCATTATAGTATCATATGTATTAATGCCGTTGTGTAATTGCAGTTATTTGTAGTTCAATCTGTGATAATTTGTTAACATTCCTGTAGCAATGCTGAATTATATCCACAGTCCAGAGCTAGTCAGTAGATAATAACTATCATTAAAGAAGTTCAACACCTATCTGTAGTAAGTGAAGTGTGTATCTTATTGAAATAGCATTACTTAATATTGAAGTATTTCATTAAAATTGGCTGGTTTCCTCATACATATTGATCCTTCCTGTTTTGAATGTTGTCTATAAAACTGTGTGAGAACTTGTATCCTGACACCGTAGTGGATTTAATACTTGTGCATCATGGTCATTACCATATAGAAGTCGCAAGATTTAGAATTGTGCAGCAACAGCTAGAAATCAGTTTCATTCCGTCCAGAAATATTTTGATTCCATATCCGTCCAGAAATTTATTTTTATCTTTCATGGTACAATTTTATTTTGTATGTGTTTTAAAAATATGATTATTCCAGTATTAGTTTTGATATTAATAACAATAATATGTTGTGTTCGGTCCAGCCTGATTGTAAGACTACTGCTGGTGTTGTTTTTATAAACTCAACTACTTATCGATGTGAAATGATAATGGTTAATGCTAATTGATTGCTGTAGTTAGATAAGTAGTCACTGTTGATCTACTGAGAACTAAACAGTTACTATACATTAATGTAATGTTATATGTAGTATCAATGTATAATTTATTAAATCTATGGCATGTCTTTATACACAACATCTTTATTTTACTCAACGGTGATGTAATCTGTGTGTTGTTTGCTGGTGATTTTAACATTGGGGAAGGGCTGAGTGTGACTTTTATCGGTGTGTCATGATATAATTATATACTGTACAGAGCTAGGGAAACTTGTATTAACACATAGTTTGTCTAGTGTTTGATCAGTACTTCAGTTTAGAAAACACTTCAGGAGTGAAAGTTTTGGTAATGTCAGAAAATTTGTTTTGTGTCACTTTTCGATATAGATAGAAAATCAATCTGAAGCTATAGGCCTCTTTACTTTTCTTTTTGTAGGGTTTATCTTCGTGACCTATTTTTTCCGTGTTTACCCATAACAGTGTTCACTAGGTGTGGTACTGATTGATAAGTCCTTATTTCAGTACACGAAACAATCATCTTTGATGTGGTGCCGATCTGGTGAAGTGTTGATATTCCGTTCATTCTGCGGAACTACTCCGTACTTTATATGGTTAAGTGGCCATGCATGGTCTGTTAGATTATTGTCTTACGTCAATCAGAACACATCTTCTGATCTTCCTTCACTTTCAAATCTAGAGCATTTTTAGTCTTGCTTTCATTTATGTTTTTTATGAATATTGCTCAAAGTGACACTGCTTTAAAAACGTTTTCTGCAATTTTTTGTGTTCGAAATTAGAGTAGGTCAGTGATGTTAGGAAAATTTCATTCTCATAGTTGAAATTAGATGGTATTTAAATGTAGTTTTATGATAGAGATTAAGTAGAATAAACACTGAAGGGAAACCGACCACATTCAACTCCTGTCAGTCTAATGAAAGTCATACTTGTGTCTAATAATAGCATTATTTTACACATCATTAAAAACATCTTTGAACTTTTAAATATATCCAGGCCATAGGAAATAGAGAGGGTAATGTTCATCATGTAAAAACATAAAAAGAAAAACTCTATAAATCACCTTTACAGTTCTGTGTTATAATAATTGTAAAAAAATTTACTGGATGAAACAATGAGTGAATTCCTTACATCTTGACTATCCAGATCTATCTCTCTGTATCATTTTTTTATGTAACGTTGTTAGACTGAGTGGAAATATTCTTTTTGTTTGCTGTAATGTAGTATGGCATTTATGTTGTTAGTAGTTAGATGGGTAGAACTATTTAAATTATTTTCATACAATTGTGTCTGTAGAATACATTTTTCTGTGTCAGTTTTTTAATATGCATTGTATATTTAATGTAGATGTATCTGTCAAACAGATTATGTTATGTACATATAAGGGGCGAAAAAAAAATCCTGCAGGACAAACAATAAACATTTAGTTCGTTTATAAAAATTTTTATCTTTTTATATCAGGGGCACGTAACTCCTGGGAAGTGCTAAAATACAAGTATACCTTTAGTGTTTTATGTCAGGGGAAGTAACTCCAGGGAAGTACTATTTTACAGGTACACAAGTGTAACTTCAGTTTTCAATGGCAGTAACTCCAGGAAAGTACTGTTTTACTAATGGTAAACAGTTATCCCTTCAGTCTTTTATATTTTTATGCCAGGGGCAGTAACTCCAGAGAAAAACTATTTTACTTGTACACAAGTATAACTTTTGGCCTCTGAAGACAGGCAGTAGTTACATTTTTGTACAGGTAAAAAACACTTAAACCACATCCCATGAGATGTGACTTATGTCAAAAAATTTCGAGTAAACTTTGGGTGTCCATGTAGGTCAAACAGAATTGTCCTGTAGTTAAAACCTGCCAGAATGTGTTGTACACAAATGTAATAATTACAAATTTACATCAAGGGCCCTAACTGCAGGGAAGTAACACAGCCATCTGGCAGGGTTCATAACATAAAATTATAAACCTTGATCAGGAACTACTTCTACACATATATATTTACAAAGGGGAATGGGAGTTCACTGTTTAAATGCTTATACACATGTATACCTGCATCCACCTGGTTAGGACATACCATCACAGGAGAGCTGATCTATGTACAGACTGTCAGTGATGTTACTACCTGTTATCTAGCTGTTTGTCCAGAAGGTGTACTAGCACCTGTGCTGATGACGTGTGTCATTAATTTTACAAATACACCATCGGTAAACCACACACTCATTCTCAATATATACTTATAAGCTGTTAAAGAATGTCTGTTTTGTAAAAATGAATACACTGTTTGTCATGACAGTTCATTTTAGGTTTCCCCAACAAATTACCTACACATTTTCCCAACATGAAATAATCATCACCCACAGACCGCAGACCTTTCAGATCTCTGTACAGGATAGTGTTTACATTTCATCTTTCAGTGTACATTTCCTTTATTTTAGACAAAACAAATAGATTAACAAAATTGGTATTTAATGAAAATTAAAGTGCTTCTAAAATGATATGGAAGAATACAATTGATGTTCAGTGATGCTTGAGAGTGCGAGACTCAAGATGTGATAGCAGTCGTATATTGATTGTGATATTTTTATTTTGTAATACTATGTTTGCTGTGGGGAGGGGGCGTAAGATGTGTACATATTATTGCTGTCCTAACGGGGTTGGGGGAGGAGAAGGGGCAGGGGATTAGGTGTTTACATTTTAGGAGAGGAAGGGTGGTGGGATTAGGTGTTTACATTTTAGAAGAGGAGGGGTAGGGGGATTAAGTGTTTACATTTTAGGGGAGGAGGGGTGAGGGAGTAGGTATTTACATTTTAGGGGAGGAGGGGTAGGGGGATTAAGTGTTTACATTTTAAAGGAGGAGGGGTAGGGGGATTAGGTGTTTACATTTTAGGGGAGGAGGGGTAGGGGGATTAAGTGTTT